GTAGTTACAGTGAACTTTCGTTTGACGAAGTATTTTTTGAGAGCCAAACGTATTCAGTTCAGTTTGACGAAATCGGAAATATTATCAATAATACGATTTTTTTTTTCGTTACCCACGAGACTCCGTAATGTGGAAGTTGCATCTGTAGGACTGTAGTATAGGTATACCTGCATAAATAATAATGCTCAAAGCCATGTCATAAATGATGATAATGTTCTATATATTATCCTTATGAGAAATATGGCTAGATATCATAACAGTTAATTCTTGTTTTTACCGTGCCCTATATCGTCGTAACTCGCATCAAATCTCTAAATACGCATCTTCGACGACTCGTCGTCATAAAATGAATCAAATGTTGTAGACAAAAAACGACTCGAGCCGGTTCCCCACGGATAGGTCATCAAGCTCTTCGCGTTGCGCATTTCGAAGTCGGTTTTCGTCATTTTTCCAAACTACAGGGTGTGGCAAACAGAACTCCCTGATTAGGGAAATTAATAAAAACCACACCGAGTCAAAAAAAAAATTTGTATTTATAAATTGTGCGTGTTTATATAAATTAAAAAAAAAAAAAATTATATCACGTAAGTGCAGGCGGCCCACATTCCGGATACACTGATTGAGCATTTCATGGTAATTTTCTACGACTCTACGGGTCATTTCGGGCGGGATAGCAGCGATTTCCTGCAGGGTTATTACCTCCTCCTTCAGAGCTTCCAAAGTTTGTGGACGATGTCGGTACACTTGCAGGGCTTTAAGATATCCCCAGAGATAGTACGAGCAAACATCGCGCTCTGCAGTCGTTCGATAAAAAATCCTTTATGTTATATACGCCAGGCGTGGTGAACTAGCCTAACCTATAACCAGCTATGGCACGTTGGCCGAATTTCAATGGCAAAACTAGTTGAAATATACTTTTCTAGACATTATATTTCATAATTAATTTGTCCGTATTTCGTACAACAAAAGTTAACTAATAAAAGCGTATATTATAATAAAACGTGTATAATATAATTATTGCTTACCTTCTTTTATCGTCAGTGTAAAAATGGCTTTTTCGGCGGAGGGGCACTCGATTATGTTTCGAGAATTTCGTTTTAAATTGAGGCACCTGTCCCGTAAAAGGTTCGCCAACCCTGTTATACGCGAATGGGTATGATACGCCTCCGTCGCTGATAAGAAAAAAAAGGCATACGCAGTCTACATCGATCCCCAATCGAGTATCGTCGACAATTCCACTCCAGTATTTTACAGGATTTTTCACAATACTTACCGACAACTGCGGTTTCTAAAAAAAAAAAAATTAACCCTGTAAAAAGCACATCTGACGCGCTCAATCATTGTAGCAAGTGCTTATAGTTTGGACAGCAGCTAAACGTACTGCACTGGCCACTGCACACGAGACGAATGTGATAACTTATGTGCAAGGCGTAACAGAAAGAACTGACTGATGCAATAACTTTTGTCATAATCGATATTTTGAATTTTTTTTAATTTCATATACGTTACGTGCTACATGTTCAGTGCGAACAATTATTTTTATTTTTCAATACTGAAGAATGTAAAACATTTAAAATGTAATTAAATTTTTTTTGGTCGAGTTCAAAATAGCCGAATCTGATTATAAGAACAGTTTTGATGGTAAAAACATTTATCTAATTCGAGTAGTTTATTTTTTAGAATTGTTTTAAATATCAATATTTTTTCGATTAAATTCATTGTCGGAACGAAAAACTTTTTTCAAAATAAAGTTTTAAGAAATTTTCTGACCCGAGTATGATTTTTAAATTATTTACTTCTACTCATAAAATGTTTTAAAAAACGTTGTCCTACGTTAAGGAAGCATAATTTTTTTTTTTTTTGGTCAGCGCTATCTGTTATATCTGTCGCCGTGCATTTCGAAGTCGATTTTCGTCATTTATCTGGACCATATATTATATACCTATATGGTATTATAGTATCGTATACTGAATACGACACCCGAGACGTCCTAACGTTTGGCGCAAACATCGCTCTCGTCGGCAGTCGAAAATTCATATCATACTACCCATGAATACATAGGTAGGTCGCATAATACGCCCACATAATCTTGGTCTCTGGATCGTCGAAAATTCCACGCTCTCGGCGGCCGTAGCGTATTTCGCCGGATTTTTCGTACCACATTACGCCGCAAAAAAACGGAAAAATTAACGCCGCAAAAAACGCATCGGCTCAATTATTGCTGCACCGCCGCCGCCGCCGCCGCCGCCGCGGGATAGCGTGTCACGCTGCAAGTGATCGTAGTCTGCACAGCAGCTAATGTACAGCGGGCATATAGGGCACTGCACACGATACGACACGAATAATAAATGATATAATATACTTGTCAGCGTTGGCATAACGTAATAATAATAATATGTATATTAAAACGCCGCTCGTGGTGTACACCACCATTATTATACCCGTGCGGTGGTGTCGTGTGTTTGGCTTTTCGTCGTCAAGGTTTTTTCGTACACTTTCGTTCGAAAAACCGCAATGGCTGCGGGCACGGAAAGGCGATAAAAAAAAAAAAAAAACCCCCCGACCAAAAGACCGGCGCGCATACACCATCACGTATATATTATCGTACACACAAAGTCGTTTATATTACACATAATAATCCGAAGTGTACCAGCTATGAGTGTGTCGTATAGATGCATATAGCGTAATATACGTAAATTATACCTGCAGTGTATAGGTGCATGTATACCAGGTATCTGTTTAGACGTTATACAGGTAAGCAAGTACCCATGTATATGTTTGTACATAGGTATAGATAGGTGCACAAAATATTGGCGGGTGCTCGTGTAATTTAACGCCGCCGCCGCCGCTTGACATTATTATTATGTGTTCGAGTCTACTCCGCGGGTACAGGCGAGGAGGAGGTGAGAGAGAAAAAAAATTCCAATTATGAGACGACAACAAAAAAAATTGTAATTTATTTCGTATAGTTATCAATACGTATATACATATATATATATATCATATATATCATATATAGGTAATAAAAAATACAGTAGGTACTCATATAATAATATTATGTATATAGAAACGTAGTCGAACATTTTTTTTATCTTGTCCGTACGCGGTTCTTACGCATATAAACAACCGTATATATTTACAATACAATAATGTACATCGTTTTTGTTGTACGTTGAGTATGAATAATCGATAACGGCGACTAAAATATTATATAAGTACAAAAGCGGCTGCGGTTCAACGTGGCACACTCGGTCGCCGGACGCGTATTTTTATATATATATAGGTAAACCGCGGTGTATTTAATATGAAGAAAAAAAAATTTGTTTTAATCGTTTGAACATGACGTACTATAGGTACACAATATAATATATAAGATTTTTTTTTCGACTTCGTTATACCCTATATGCGCGCGAAGCGGACAATATACTTCGTCGGGTTAAACACTAATAAAAACGTTAATAATATATAATAATAATAATAATAATAATAATAATAATAATAATAATAATACGACTTTTTTTTTGTTTTTTGTTTTTTTTTTTCACATAGGAAAACATTAAATTATGTACACAGATGTAATACAATATATAATGTTATATATGTACACATAGAAATAATGAATCATATAATTATGATAATAATAATAATAATAATAATATATTCTGTACAAAGTGGCGACACTCAGAGATTATATTGTACCGTTAAAAACACGCCGCGAGTGTTAAAAAAGTGGAAAATAAAACGTCTGTAATTTTTTATAATGTAATATAAATATATATATATACGAATAAAGATTTACAATTTTACCGCTTTTTCCGTCTACAGTGCGCGTCAGTACGTGTAAAACGCACTGCCGAGGGCCGCGTAATGCGTGACCAGGTTGCTGCCGTGCTGATGATGCTGCTGCAGGTACTGCTGGTGATGTTGATGCTGCTGGTGCAGCTGTTGCTGTTGCTGCTGCTGCTGCTGCTGCTCCTGCTGATGGAGGTGGTGTTGATGATGATGTTGTTGCTGCTGCTGCTGCTGCTGGTCGTGCTGATGCTGCTGCTGGAGTCCGTTTTTGTACTGGAGACTAGAAAACAACTGTGGGCCGGGCGTAGCACCACCGCCGGTGCCGCGGTCGCCGCCACCGCCGAACGCGACAGTCGGCGGCGGTGGCAGTTGCACCGGCGGGGGCGACGCTCATTCCAGTTTCTCCTGGTACATCTTCGGCTCTTTGCCGGCGGCGTTCGTCCAGCAGAAGCTCTTCTGGTCCTTGTTGTTGTTGTGCTGCTGTTGCACGGACAGGAACGGCGACGAGCCGATGGCGTGCGACGACGGCGGCGACAGCGGAACTACAGAACCCACGGAACTCACTACCGGGCTCCACCGGACCAGACCGGCCGGTCCGCTCAGGGGCAACGGAGGTTTGACGTCCACCATGTCGGCCATGTGCAACGGCTGCACGTGCTGCTGGTGCTGTTGCTGTTGTTGTTGCTGTTGCTGCTGCTGTTGCTGTTGCTGCTGTTGCTGTTGCTGATGTTGCTGCTGCTGCTGTTGCTGGTGTTGGTTGTGCGGAGACGAACCGTCGGCCGCGCTCTGGCTGTTCTCTGAATCGGAACACGAATCGCTGCTGCCCTTCTTGCTGCCGCCGTTGCCGTTGTGTGTCTTGACGTGCTTGGCCAGGTGGTCGGACCGCATGAACCGCTTGTTGCACACGGGGCACGCGAACCGCTTCTCGCCGGTGTGCGTGCGCAAGTGCCGCTGCAACTCGTCGGACCGCGTGAACCGCTTGCCGCAGAACAACCAGTTGCACACGAACGGCCTCTCGCCCGTGTGCCATCGGAGATGCGCTTTGAGATGGGACGTCTTGCCGTACACTTTGCCGCAACCGGGTATGTGGCAGCTGTGCACGTTCTTCTTGAGGTGGCCACCGGCCGGTCCCAGCCGCTCGGCTTCCTGGCAGTTGGGACAGTCGCACGTGGCCCGTCCCGTGTACCGGCGCTGTGTGCGCGGCGATGGCGTCTGGGGGGCCGCGCTGTACGCAGCGGACACAGCGGCCGCGGCGGCTGCGGCTGCGGCAGCCGCGGACGCCGAACCCGGTGACGTGGCCGACGACGAGGACGACGAGGACGTGACCACGGACGGATGATGATGGTGATGGTGGCTCAGGCCGAACGAACCCTGCGCGCCCGGCAGTATGGATTTGTACGTGTCCTGCAAGAAATGTTGGTTGGAGAACAGGTGGTGAGCGGCCGCCGTGTTGGACGCGGCCAGCGAGTGGCTCAACGACGAGTAGTCCGACTGCGCCGCGTAATTGGCCATCTGCGCGTGCATGCCTGCGTGGAAACCAAAAAACAAAAAAATACCAAAATAATCAAAACTCGTCGATATTATAATACAGTTATGCGTATTATACAAGAATTATAATCGTCCGGGCGATTACACACCGGTTTTCGATACATTATTATTATCGCTGTTAATTAATATTCCATAAATCGCCGTATCCGGTACAATACCCATACGTAAATAAGTTGCCTTTTAAAGGTCCGAGATCTAAAATAATTACGATATCAAAATATATTTCACATCTCTCGTAGGTACCTTTTATATAGGTAGGTATATAATATTATGCGTAAATAAGTCGCGTATTATATTAAACGCCCGGGATCAAAAATTACGATATTCGAATAATTATCATACCGTAATGTTGCACAGTGTAGACACGCGCTCGATTATGAAATGTGAAAGGCATCATTTTATGCGTCGAAATATCGTATATTATATTGTAATATATATGCATATTATAATATACGTATAGGACATAGGTATATGTATAGTAGCGGATCACGATTCGCGCGCGCTTATAATCGACCTCGTATGTGTGTGTGTTTATGTTTATACATAGGTACGCGGCCGAACCAGCCGTGTTTCGAAAACGAATTACCTATATACCAACGATTATTTTAATTTCGATTTTTAATTTTAATTTTTTAATCGCGAGCGTATTTTTTCTATTAATTTGTATCTTAAAAACGATGCCGTTACCATGTGAGACGTGCGTACCACATGAACGTTATCATTGCAATATTATTATTATTTTCATTATTATTGTGCATCGCATAGACACTAGTAATAAATCGTTTGATAAATATGCGCATAATATTTACCTCCACTCATGTCCAGCCATCCGCTCCCGTGCACATCCCACCAAGCGGGATTCACGGACTCCGTCTTGATGGCGGGCGCGTGATGTCCGGCGGTGCCCATCGAATTGAATGGCCACTCGTACGGATGGCGGCCGTACAGCGCGCTGTGGTTGTCGACCTTGCCCAGCAACGGGCTTTGGTGGTGATGGTGGTGTCCGTTGTTGTCAGCGGCCAGCGTCTGGTGGCCACCGCCACCGCCGCCGAAGTAGATGTTGCCGTGGTGCGGCGGAGGCGGGGGCGGGTAACCGGCCCCGGTCGGCACGGGCGTGGACGGAGCCGACGACGTGGAAGTGACCACGGGCCTGGGCGATTCCGCAGCGCTGGACGACGTCCGCTGTTGCTGTTGGCATTGTTGCTGTTGCTGTTGCTGCTGCTGCTGCTGTTGTTGCTGTTGCTGCTGCTGTTGCAGCGGCGAACCGGACATGTCGGTGGACTGCTGTTGCGGGCTTTTTTTCCACGGATAGAACCCTTTGCCCACGGCAGCGTCAGCGAGTGGCGGCGGCGATTTACTCTGCAACTTGTTGCACTGAGCAGCCAACATGGCCAACGGAGTATTTCTCAGACCGGGATGTTCCTGAAACAAATATAAAAGCTTCTAGTTAGAAATTTTCGAATGCAGACTCATCGTCCAACACAACAATCCTGACTCCCGATTTTTAGATGGCCCGTGTAAATAAAACGATTCAGTACCACTACAACTATTAAACGAGACTTGGGCGACAAGTTTATTTTTGTAGATCAAAATCCGATACCCATAACGTCTCTTTAAATATTGATTTATACTTTATCGACCGGTAACCTATTTTATTATACGTGTAAAATCCGGTAACGATGCGTGTCGTCGATGCGACTACGATGTATCAAAAGAATTGTTGAAGTGTCTTAAATGCTGTGAAGATTTGCATATATTTGACTGTGTTATTAATTATTATTATAACGTTTTGTGCAGTATACCTGGTACGAGTTTCAACGGCCCGGTAACTACTTATATTGTCAATACACGAAATATAAAAGAACAAGTACCCATAGGTATTTATCAGAAACAATATCGACCGAAAAAGAATCGCGAGTCGTATAACATAATCGCGGTTCGAATATATTATAATATCTAACGATATTATAACACATAGTTGCAAGTTGCAACAGTGCTTCACTCGCATATTATCATACGGGCTCGTAAAATATTAAAATATTATACCTAAGTCGAAATGCGTATACAAGCAGTTGTTCGAAATTAATTACAATAAAACTATATAATAATAATATAACATACGCGGTGCACGTGGCGTGTGAAGCGATCGTATATGTATAATAATATTCAAAACCAGTTTGTCCGACGAAACGAGATTTACATATTATATATACATAGCTAGTCTATGCAGCTCGCATTATATTCGTACGACCGCGGCTGCTGCACAGTCGGCCCGATAGGTATACCAATATATATTATACTATACAAATAATCAGATCACAGCGATCATTTCACGGCAATCGGTATTAGGTATAATATAGTGCAATGATATGCAAAACAAATGCCCAAACCATTCAAATTTTTTGTTGCGTGGTGCAACACTCCTCGCGTTTCAATAACAGTATCAACTGCTCAACACATCAACACGATATTATCATATTATTATAGTATAGTAGATAATAATATTACGGGCGTATCGTATGGGTGCCTATATGTGTAATTTCAATGAATGTAATGATGTAGTATGGAGCGTTTAAAATAATAATTGTAAATCGTATTACACTGCGTATACGGTTGTATCGTGGCTGACCTATAAATATTTAGTAATTTCTTTCGACCGACGCTTTCAAAACTCGTTCCCCTAAAGATACGTTTGCGTATACGACACCGCGGTGACGTTTAAGCGAATCTAAGTGAGACTTGTAAGTCTCCACATCCGCAAATGACGGATCTCTGCATTTTTCGAGCGTTAGCGCGCACGTGATTAACATCACACGCAAGTCGACCACCCCACACACTTCCTCATTTCAATTTCTATTTAACAGTTATGATATTATATTATACACACAACACACACATATTTTACGAATACGTATGTATATGTATATGTATATGTGTACAATGCAGAGCGCGAATGCGCCCAACGGCTGTCTGCGCGGTAACGTGTTTGGAAGAATAATATTATGTAGACCATACATGTGCGGACCACGCTACCTATAAAAAGAGTGCACGTATTTATATTTTTGTAAACAGTTTTAAATAAATTAGGTTTTTAAATTATTACAAAAAATAATAATAATAATAAAAACGACATCTGAATCCGATCTCGATATTTGATAGCCAATGGCTAGGTAATAGACCCGACGGGCGACGACGTCTATACAATAACATTTTAACCACCGTCTTCGTTCTCGTATTAATATGTACGCTGTATAGGTATAGACACCAACAAATATCGGACGCACGACAGATGAGAACCGTCGGGTATTATTATTTTTGTGGATCGAATCATATTATCATATTTTTCCATAATAAGGCTCTGGGGAAATAATATAAGTACCTTCTACCGACTGACAACTAAAAAAAAAAACGTTATATATATTAGGTATGCGATCGAGTTTTACCTACTGCGGGTATATCTATTTATGTGCATATCATAAGCCCATATGTATATTATGCAGCATAGGTATTACTGAAATAATCGACAAGACGACTGCTGCAGGATCAGATTTAATAGCGGGCGTGCGGTGTATAGCAGACAATTATATTATGATGTAGAGAAAGAGTCTTGCTCTGAATATAATATACAGAGACGTTGAAACATCGATAATCGATTTAAATTCCTAAGTGTAGGAAATGGTCTCAAACATTACCATGACTTATAATATAGCCAATATCTATAGGTCGAGTCAAAAACGTTACAATTCAATATTATATGTTGGACCCGTTGACAGGCTATAATGATATATTATAGGTAAGAGATATTATATATACATATATATATATATCCCTCAAAGGCAGCAAAGAATGAAATCATACATACAATGAAATATATAATATTGAAAAGCGTCGAATTGTAATATTAAAAATGACAAATGAATCAATTTTTTTTATATAATTATTATTAAATGCCAAAAATATTTAACGATTTCAGAGATCTTTTGGATGGTTTTTAAATATACCTTAAAAATACTTCTTCGGATACAGCACAACGTGGACATAATATGCAATATATATATAGTATATACGTACGAGTATTATTATAGTAATCTTAGTATTGTTATTATTATTATATTTTATTGAGAATGCAGTCTTTGACACAACTATTCATTCACAAGAATTCTGAAATTATTAGATTATGTATCTATGGACGAATAGGAATATCGGAACATACTTTTCAATGGGATTAAGTACCCATGCAGTGATGATATCCTCTCAACTACTGCAGCGCTGTATTATATGCACACGATAACTTCAAAATTTATTAATGAACTATTAATAAATAATAATTATGCATGTCATATAATATTATTGGGTAACACGATTAGAAAAAGACTTTAAAGATTACACAAAATATATAATGTAAAACCAGTCTCGTATAGTATTACGATGTGTAATATAGGGTGCATAAGGTTAAAATTTTGATAATTCTACACGCAAGTTAGTAATATTATGTATTTACAATTTACATATTATATTCTTGTAACGCGTCAAAATTAATTAAATTACACAAATAGGTGTAGGTAAAATTATCGATCGTATATATTTGAAGGATAAATTGCATCGGCAGTAATAAACAAAAATACAAAATGTGTTTATTAATTTAAATCTAATTAGCATGTAATTAAATAAAAACGTTACGCAGTGGGCAGCAATTATTATCGATGTAAATGAATGCAAAACACCATTGACTTACAATAATATAATATTAATAATAGTATTATCATATATTAATTTGGTTCGATGAGCAAACAAACAGAGAAAAAAAAATAATACGATTTTCAATGCCGGTCTTCGCCGACGGACGGACACGTTGGTCAACTGTCACTTGTGATCGTTACACACTAAGTGCTGTCATATTAGAACCCCAATAAAATATTATACTACTCCGCCGACGAATAAAACTAACCACTCAAGCGAATTTGACAACCCATTCATTCGTCCGGCGCCCCTATGATTACATTATTGATCATCACGAATGTCATGCAAAACTCGTGCATTTTCAAAAATGACATATTTTACCCTACAGTGGGCATGTATACATGTTATACAGAAATAACCTCTGCACAAATGCACAATACCGTAATCGTCGTTTTACGAAATTCGTAATTATTTTCGATTCATTGTTATTGTATTGTTTTAAATCAACTTGTCGGCGATTTACACATAAATCGTGCTCGGAGTTGAAACGACGCTTGCCGTCTTATAAATACATACATACAACATACTATTATATATGTACTACCTATATAGAATATATAGACAAGATGTACTTCGGTATAACTTATAAGCACACTGGTTCGGCCGCGGGCCCGGAGGATATTACGCAGTGGTGTATTATTATCGTCGTCATCTCTGTGGCATTTGTCGACTGGATCGCCGGGACAAGATAGTCTAAATCGTGGAGGGATAAAAATGATCATCGGGAAATCAGCAGGGTCAAAAATACATTTTATGAAGATGAAGAAAAAAAGAAACAGCCGCGTAACCCGACACCGGATATTCGTGTTATTGTCACCACGGAAACGTAAACATTTCAATAAAATTCGGAACGAGCAGCCGCCACCGTCCAACAATAATAATAATAATGTCACATTGTCCGAAAGGTAAAATCCTATACATACACCTGTCGCGCTCTCAAAAATCATTTACAATGACGTTTTTCTTAATCGAATATAGGCGATTCGACAAATTTGTTCCACTCGTTGTATTCAACTGAACTGCAAAGTATATACAAAATATATATTATTGTACAGGGTGCATGTGTATACATGGATTCGACGCATTCGAACGCAATTTGTATCTGTAAAATTGTCAAATTTGTGTGATGCACCATATACCCTGTATATCACACATAAATAATACATAAAAACTTTATGATATAACCTATAACTATAAGCGTTCATACATATTATTTGATGTGCAGAGGGAGGTTTAAATATGCTACGAAATTTATGCCTAGCGTATTTCGAGGAAAATAAAAGTACCTCCTACCCGTCGGTGGTTTATTTGAATTATTTGTAGGTACATAGGTACGAGGCACGCATGGTATAATATATTAATATAATACAAAATTGTTTCACGTAGGTACCGACGGTATATAATATAGTATAGTAGTACGAACTATTATTATGCATAATATATGCTCGTGGTATTTAACACGCGGCTAATTACAATATCGCATATTTACGTATTTTTAATAAGACTGTTTTATGCTAACCGTCCAAAGTTACTCGCGCCGCGGCGTTACATAGGTACGACGTGAACACAGCCCACGCAAGTTATATGATAATTTTAGAATGTAACAAATTTACAAATGAAAAAAAAATGAAAAAATGAACTCTAAGAATTGGTAAAAAACTCGATACATTCAACTCTCGTTTCCGTTCATATATTATACATAGTATATATATGTGTATGTGTGTGTGCATATGTATGTGAGTATATAGACTGCTACAGTAGAGCATATAGATATATACGAACAGGAACCCGTTAGTTCCTGAGGCCCATAGGTGCTAGAAGAAGAAGGCACACCTTGTTTATATTCTTTTAACTAACAAAAAGATCACGAGATAAGCCGCGCCATTAGTCAACGTTATATCTGACGACGTCATAAAATTAATTATATACACACTTTTTTACTCTTTTTTTTCTTTTTATCAATGTGTGCTCGTTTTAATGACGATGAGTGTGCGGTTTGTGGCGGCAAGCAAAAGTGTATAGAGAGTGAATAATGATAATAATAAAAAAAAAAATGAAATTCAATAAGACGATTTTTTTTTATTTACTATTGTGAATGGAACAAACGAACTATATATACCAACCGATAAAAAGTCAATCAGCACAAAATGTTTTTTTCATAATATTATAACAATATTATAATGATATTCCTCCCAAAACTTGTCGTTCGAATTTTTTAGAGATCGAATAATGTATTTTGTTTGAGAAACATTACATATGATATATTTAATGGGAAACAAGAGAAATATAACCTACTATATAGGGATGAGGGACCTGCACGTCAAACTACTAGTAATTATGGGGAGTAATTATTTTATGTATATAAGCATAATTAATATTAGTCTGTTTTTTATTATACTATTTTACTGACCAGTGACTGTAACACGCAGTTCAAGGCAGAGTTTTAAACGCACGATAACATAATATAAGAACATGTATTTTGTGCTGCAACGATATTATTTAGTATATGTTTTTGTACAATTTAAACTAAGCGATTATCAGTTGTACAATATATGTTGTATCTATAAGAATTGTAAATAAAATGTTTCAATTTTTCGAAACAAATAATAACCATGCGAACTGCACTCTTCAGTTTGAACACAACAATATATAAATACCTACAACGGACAAATGGCAATATGCATATACTTTTAATCTACAGCAAATCGTATATATACTAAATTGTCTATACATTAAATCAAATCGTATACGCGTCACCCATAACTCTTAATACCGACAGAACGACAATGGAATATTATGGTACAATATAGTATATATTTATATGTGTTGTACATATATATACTGCAGTATAATGTATATATAGGTAGTACTTTGTAGACGTGAAGGAGGAGATTCTATCGTCATTTTTTTTAAAGTTATTATTTACTTGTAGAATGGCTTCTTCCATTCTGTTATAACATCACCAGATTAGGTGGCGCCACATGTCATGTAGGGTTCAAAGATTCGACACCGACAGTCCGTGATGAAGCGGTTTTTATAATTTTCTTTTTCTGTCTCTCCGTACAACATATATATACAATATACATATATTTATAATGCGTACAGAGTGTTTTTACTACTCTCATTATACAAGCCCGGGGCTCTTAGTGATGGGTTTACGCGTTTAAAATCCATTTTCTACCGGCAGCCTAATCGAAAAACGGCGGCTAAATTAAAAACAAAAAATGTACACCAGGAAAGGGGCAACTCACCATTATCTCTTGTTCGGTGGGCCATCCTTCATTGCAAGATTTGCCAGTTAGGGCGCTTTGGAAATCGGGAACCTGTAAACACACACAATAAAACGGTTAGCGAAATGCATAATGAATACTAAATAACCATATAATATATGGACATCTAATCATGTATTGAAATGTACATAACATTATAAATATAGAGTATTTAAGTATGTCAACATATGGATTTTCAGAAAATAATATCAATTGAACGAATGCAACTGCTTTTGTATCGCTTAAAACAATCCGTGGTAACACGTGCGGTCATATTTATCTATATAGATACATATTATACATTTATATTATATTATAAAACATATCACTTATAGGATACATCATAAACATAATATTCTGTAATATACATGAAAGTATAAAATGTTTTTCAATCATTATTCCTCAAAATGCATATATTTTTTCAGATTTTTATCTCTATTGATCACTCATCCTCTCGCTTCAATTATAATAATATTATATGCGTAATATGCGTTCACAAAATTCACCGAGTGACGACATTGGCGACAGCTAAGCGTCTTTCGGAAACGCGACAACGACGAAGTGCAGCGGCCGTGCCGTTAAACGAAGGTCGTCCCGAAAACGGGTTCATTAATACATCCTCCGGGCGTAATATACATATTTTACACATGAATAATTTGACGGCACACCATCAAAGTTAACGCATATAGGTACGGCCGCATATGTATATACACACATATATATATATAAGTAGACACAATAATGGGGGCTCACAACTACTATCTCGACGATACCGCCTTTAGCTAAAAAACATGTGTTTCGGACAAAACGCATGTCATAAATCCTTTCGTCCAGCATCAGTCGCTATCTCTTTCCGCTGAAGACGTAGGTATGTATATAGGTATATAATATTAATAATAATAATAATAATGATATGTATACGAGTGTGTGAGATGTGTAATATCGTAGGTAGGTGTGTAGGTAGGTAGGTAGATAGGTATATTATAGAGTTTACAACGAGTAGTTCATCGGCTATTTATTTTCTTTGGTTGGGCTACCGATTTACGCGTGGTCTGAAAATAAAAAACTTTTTTTTTCAAATTCCATTTTCAATCACTCGAAATCTGCCGCTCAAGGGCTCAGACGCATACAACCCATATAAATATATATTATTGGATCGAAACGTCTACTTAAAGTGATCTGGGTTCACGTGCACAGCTTGAGAACGTCAGATTTCTGTCGAATGCTCAGGTATATGCTATATAAGAGACCGGCACTATAATAACAACTGACCATCAAAATAACAATTGCCAATTGCACATTTTCAACAATATAAAATATATTGTATACATAGTAATAAAACGTTATACAACACATCATAATATGAATCATCCGCTACACCTCGTGAATAATATTATTCTACAAGAGCAGCTGTATATATATATATGAAAGGCTCACCGTGGGCCGCTCACATGAGAAATTATGGTGGGGAGTGAGAACTGGTATGGATAAGGATATTTATTTTTAATTAGTTCTTCAACGTAGAAAAATAAAACAACGGTCGCTTAAGGACATATGCGTACAAACAATATTACAGTAGCATTTTATATATTTTTTAATGGGTTGTAACAAGTGCAAATACTCATTGTGTACATATATTATATATATTTTTATATTATACAATATACATTTATATTAATATTTATCATTCACACACAATGGCCTGGAGTCATTTATAAGTTTTTTCTAATTATATTTTGAGTTATTAATATTGGTTTCAATTCTAACGTGATGTACCTATTTATATACATATACATATAGTTATGACCGGCAGCATTCAAAATATAAATGAAAAAAAAAACTGTAAACGAGAAAAACAGAAGCGACTGACGAAACATCCATACAAGTCATCTGGTCGTATATTATAAATAGGGTTGAACTTAAATATCGAGTTTTAATAAGAAAACGTGGTTAATTATGTCCTCGGGGTCGATTCAGTTGTTATTTAAATATATATAACATTATTATGAATGAAGTCCTACCGCGCATACGCATCATCGAAATGATTAAGGTATATATTCTTCAATCGGTTTATTAAAAACAATTAATCCCCAGGCGATTTCCCACGGTGTATAGCCAACAGACATGCAAACACACATCACACATGCTGCACGCGTAAATAGTCGTTACGACAAACAATAACGAAATACAAAACGAAATATTATATCGAACATGATTGATCGACAAATTAAAAAATTTACAATAGCAAACATTATATTATATTGTAGCAAAAATGTTCCTACAAATACAATATTTAATAGCTGTAGTGTAGGTACATGAAAACATATGCTGCACTATAGGTTAGGAACCTAATCCAACCTATTAATAGTGCAAGCGAAAACTGCACATAACTACAGTCAAGTACCTAATACCTGTATTATACCTATATTTTGTATTGGCACACTACGCTGCGGGGTATTATCTGCAAATTCGGAATTTACGAAATCACGTCTTCAAAGAGGAACAAAATGACCTTAATATTCTGTCAAATCTCATTCGTGTCTTTTTGTGGTTACATTATTGTATTATATTATTATTTCTTCTCCTTTTTTTTTTTTTGTTCAAAAGAGACGATTCCGCGTGCACTGCACCGTCGCATTCAAGTGTCAAACGGTTTGACGGGCGAAACGTCAACAGAATGAAAAGGGGCAGATTTCTTCTCTATACAAAGTGAATTAAAATCGCGTGCAGCCACCACCGTTTCCCGTGTTCCAGTCTTTATTGACCGCAATTTATTTTGATAGCGGTTCAAAACCCGTCTCTGTGAACGCGCACGTTCCGTCAACAATGAAGCCCATGTAGAAAAAAAATAAAAAGATATGTATAATGTGTGTATAATATTGTACTAGTAAGTGTGTTGTATAAAATAAAAATAAAAAAAATGAAGAAGAAAGAAAGAAAAAAAAATCAAAGGCCTGAACAATAGGCCATCGCGGAATTAGCAGCCCCTCGAGGTCTGAAATCGTGTCGGCGTAATCAGCCCGCAATGGATAATAATATTATTGTATCCCGAGGCCGCAACGATTTCTGACGATTTGCTTTTTATATAATGTATACCTATAAGTTATAAGTTATAACCTATACTCTATAGTAATATTGTATTATATTATATATTAAAACGACGGCGTCGATTGCGCATAGCGATGTAAAATATACAAGTTTCATTTCTTCTTACGTTACACAAACAATAAACATTAATGTTATTATATTTTTTTTAATTTTTTAAAATAATTGTTAATACATATTAATAGTTAATGTATTTTTACCTAATCGAATTCATTATTAAATAGAATATAAGGAATTACACCTATATATATTGTTTTGTATATATAGGTTATAGCAAATTATTAAATTCTTACATGGGCAATTAATAATTATTTACATATTAAATATAGGTATCTACCCGAGTATTTTATAAATAGAGCAGAATCATTTCAATTTTCATGCACTATAAAACCCATATAATATTCTAATGTTAGACTAACCATATTCAATCAGATATAATAGAATCATATAATAAACCAAACATCTCAATTAAACTAGACAAAAATATTTTATTCAAAATAGTATTAAAAAGTAGTTTTGAAACTAAAAACTGAATTTGCCATACTATATTTTGAAGCTATTTTATATTATATTTGTTTTTTATTCGATTCAATGTGAATGACTCGATTTTTTTAAAAACATAATTATTATTTAAATATAACTTGGCTTGATGAAAAATCTTGTATATACGAATATAAGAATATGGCCTAAAAATATAAATATGACCTTAAAATCATAAATATGCCCTAAAAACTCAAAAAATGGCAAAATATGCAAATACATGAACGCATGCAATGTCCTTGCTCTACTAATTATTTTTTACATAGTACAATTTGTAATTAAATTTTTCTAAAACTATAAGCAATTTTTAAGTTTTATGAATACGAGAATTAAATTATAAGCTAATTGACTCATTAAATAAATAATGTTATTAGTAAATAGAAGGTACCTATATGTATAATATTGACTCTATAGTATATATACCTATTACCTATACTTCAATTATAAATATATGCCCATAGCTACAACTTTTATTGATTTTAATATTTCGTGACATAGAAATTTATAATTGATCAAATTCATAATTAACAGATGTAAAATCAATTTTACCCTAAATATTTATTATTATTGTGTGTATATTGTATACCTATAGGCTATAGTAAATATAATAATTATTAATTGTATAATGTACCTACTAACGTAATTAATAAACCTATAAATACATAGGTATATCAACATTTTTCAACTAAATATTTTGTCAAGTGTCAACAGTTTCTCAAACCTCTATTAGGTACCTGCTATAGCATACTATATTATAATCATCATCCTTGGATGAATAACAATTATAATATGAATGTCGAATGATTTGATCTTAAAGGTATTTATGAAAATTATTCGCTACACTGAATAATACTTTACTAAGTTAACTTATTGTAACAATGATATTAGGTAACTTATGAATATATTATTAATGTTAATCTAAATTGTTGGCTCATTTATGTATAAGTCATTAGGAGCGTCCAAGGATATAAAACGTGAATATATTTAAATTGAAAAAAAAACATACACGATACACATATATAATATTCTACTTGTAATGTGCTTATAATCATAGAGTAGGTATATGCAAGTTTTGTTTAACACTTATAGCCAACGTTTGTATGTATAAACTAATATATGTCGAACGTTGATATGTATAAGGCTATATACCTAGCTATATTAAAATAGTAGAAAATAATTCCACTGCAGTCATTCGTATTTATCCAATTGTAGTAAACTGGCAAATATCTTATCTACGCATGAAGGTTATTTAACCACCGTAATAAACAATTTATATATTATATATGTATTATGTATACATATTATACATCATATAGAACCCTCAATTTAAATTTTAAACCTGCAGCCGTATATCAAATGAACTCAACAACTGATATGAGTTTCATTATAATATTCGTAGATACCTACAC